GACATCTTGAACAGGTTCCGCATCTCACCCTTGAACTTGTTGATTTCCTTGGCATCTGGCCCGGTGATCACGAGGTCATCCACATACACGCCGACGATGAGGCGCGAGGTCGCCGTGCCCCGAGCGTACACCGCGTGCTCTGACGCACACTGTGTGAAGCCCAGCTCGCCCAAGCACGCGTCTAGCTTTGTGTTCCAGGCCCTGGGTGCCTGCTTGAGCCCGTACAAAGCTTTGTCCAGGCGAAGCACCAGGTGCTCCTTGCCGACGGCGAACCCGGGCGACTGCTGCACGTCACCTCCTCCTCAAGCTCGCCATTCAGGAAGGCGGACTTGACGTCCATGTGGTGGACCGCCCAGCCCACGTTCGCCGCTGCCCAACTACCTGCAGCTTTTCCAGCTTTTCATATTTACTCAGTGCTTACAAGATCTAACTGAAAACCGGGAAAAATGGACGCGAACAGGTTGCGAGTGCCGCCATCCCAGCACTCCTCACTCGTCGCCCGTCATGGCGCCGTGACCATTCAGTCATGCCATCCCACGATCAGGTCAAGGCGCCGCAAAACTAGCTAGCTACTTCGAGGCGCAGCTCGGTTTGTTTCTGACGAAACTGAAGCAAAGTAAACTACTGTCGAAACTGAATTTTTCGACACCTAAAACCCTACTGCTACTGAAGCTGAAGATTACAGCAACAGGGACTACGGGAGGCATCACTGCTACTGAGTAGGTGGATTTAGCAGCTAGTATGACTTTTGTAGGAGAATATGATTTATTGAGGAAGGTGAGAGAAATTTAACAGTTGATGCGCATTAGTGGCTGCATCTGCATATGGAAGAGCTTCGGTCGTGGTGACGGAAGAGCTTCAGTCGTCGTGGCGGAAGAGGTGGCGGCGGAGATAAGAGTTGCGAAGGGGAACGTGATGCTGAGTGGTGACCATCACATTTCACACCATGGGCAATCACGTATGTACCAAGTATTGGGCCGGACAGCCCAGGAGCAAACTCCTTTTTAGGAATAACAAAATCTAGCCCAAGTGCAAGAGAACGCCCATTGAATCGTAGCCGACTCGCCGGGGAACGAAGCAACTTAGTTGTGTGCGAGACATGGCCATGAAAACTGATGACGTGGACGCACAGTAGATGGCTGATCTGGATAGTCTGTATGTCAAGAGAAATCAAGTAGTAAAGGGCTTCTATTTAAGTATAGTAGATTCCCGTCTTGCTTCCGCATCTTCGAATACATTGCATGTTTCGAAGACTTTCTTAAAAATCACCTATTTACACCCCCTCCCCCCTCTAGTCGATAAGTAGCACTTTCACAAACTCAAAGAGAAGCCATGATGTTCTCATTTTATTTGTAAGTTTCATTTTGCGGTACTTCTATTTTCCTTCTCGTCCAAGTTTTTCTCTAGAAACTCGCAGGACATGCACGTCCCTGGGAACACATGCACGCAATCCTTAGATTTCTTTAAGATTCATAATCTTTTTTAGTATTAGGCATTTGATTACTGCATGATGGGGTCTATTCATGCATGCTTTTGTTAGCTTTTGTCAAAGTTACATACGCCATTCACTTCGCTTCCTATGCCTTCTTCTTTTGGCTTTGCAATTTGAATCTTTGGTATCCTTTCAATGAAAAGTCCAATCAAATTTTACTTTTCAGATTTGTGCTGCTTGCGACGCGGGCATTGAAAGCATGCCTATTTTCAATATGTTTGGACATGTTTTTATAATTCCCTAAGTTTCACCTGCCAAAACTTAATAGGAACAAGTAACAAAATAAAAAGTTTCAAGAACATTCGAGATTTGTCAATGTCATTTCAAACCTTTCCGATGTCAATTTTAGTGACGCGAGTGTCGACGCTTAAAAATGGCATGATCGCAAAGAGTGGCTTGAATCTATAGAAGATGAAGTCAAATTTCTGATTGGAAGTCGCCATTGGATGGCTCTTTTCGAGAAGATCAAGATGGATACAAAGATAGTCCAAAATGGACCTCAGATGCAAGAAGTATGACAATTTTAGAGATGCCCATGTTGACATCAGATTATGAAAAGGCATGAAACATACTTAATATCACCTCGGATGGAAAAAGTTTCAACATGAAAGTTCTTAGTCTCGTCGAATTGGATGATTTTGATAAGCAAATCATCTTCATCCGAGGTCATATGCAAAAGTTGTAGTCAAAACAGTGTAATGCTGCAAAAACTATGGAGATGGCCGGGCGTCCAAAACCTCCTGTTGCGATCGGATGGTCCGGAAATTGGGACCATACTATCCGGTCAGGCTCGCCGAAATCATCCAAACCTTCTGGTATGATCGGACAGTCTGATATGGACTTTCGGACAGTCTGTGCCAGATCAAAACTGTAGTTTTTGACGAATCTGATCGGTACAAGGGAGAGTTGGCCTTGAAGATGACCTCGAATTGAAAATGTTCAACGTGAAAGTTGTTCTTCTCGTTGTAACGGTCAAATTTTGTTTTGGGCTCATCTTTGTACGAAATCGTTTGTGGCCTGTGGGACCTAAAAACCGAATTGTTGTCTCAGACTTACCTAAATCCGAGTTCAGTTTAATTTGGAAAGATTTCGACGTGATTTGGAGTCATTTTCTTGTACGGGAAGTCCAGTCGCCTCATAAATAGATAAAAGGTGATGGCTGATTGAGCAACACACAATTGAAAAAAAATCAATATACTACTTTTTGTTGGTACAATAATTTGCCTTCTTATGTTTTGGAGTTTATTGACATAAACAGTATGAGACTTATGTGTTTGTTAGTGCACACAGAGTAATAGGTCCCTAGAATCAAGAGGAGTTTGGTTCAAACGACGAAAATAATCCCCTACGTGGCAGTGAAGGTTATCACCGAAGATTATGTTGACAAGAGTGACCCCTCCAAAATTGCTGACGTGAAGCAACTGGTTTGGTGCTTGTCCAAAGGAAGTGACTACGACCGAGAAGATTGAAGACGACGTGAAGACATAGCATTTATTTCGTTGTTTCTCTTCTCCTTATTGAGTCATAGGACTACCGTACTATTAAGCGGGATGTAGCGTTCGAAGCTTTGTTTCTCTGATGCTAAACCCAAATCCTATGTAAGTTGCTAGATAAATCTCTTTGTGTTTAAAGCAAATACTTGCCAGCAAGAGACTGTGATCTTTTTCGCTGCGAGAGATTTGTCTTTGACCGAGGAGTTAGTATTACTTCGTCCTCAAGTAATGTTACCGTTGCTCTTTGAAATCCGACCGTTGAGAACGTGTCGGTTGGCCATTGGCTGGATGGCGTGTCCAAACTGGTCATTTTTCACCAGGGAAGGCTGTGGCTATAAATAGCCACCCCGCACCGGCTTTGTCCAGCGGCTACTTCGTTTGATTGTGAGAAGATTGTTGAGCAACCCTCTCTCCGGAGTGTCCGGAAATTGGGACTAGTCTGTCCGTTCAGGCTCGCCGAAATCATCCAAACCTTTTGTTATGACCGGATAGTCCGATATGGACTTCCGGACAGAACGATCCGGATCGAAACTGCAGTTTTTGACGAATCTAATCGGCACAAGAGAGATTTGGCCTTGAAGATGACCCGAATCGAAAACGTTAAACATGGAAGTTATGCGTCTCATCGAAACAGTCAAATTCTATTTTGAGCTCATCTTCATCCTAGATCGTTTGTGGCTTGTGGGACCTAAAAACCGAACTGTTGTCTTAGACTTACCTAAATCCGAGTTCGATTAATTTTGGAAAGATTTGGACGTGATTTGAAGTCCTTTTCTTATATGGGAAGTCCAACCGCCTCATAAATAGATGAAAGATGACGACTGATTGAGCAACACATAATCAAACAAATCGATTTACTATTTTTTCGTGTTCATCTATTTTCTATCATCTCCCTCGTATCTTTTTATCGTTCTTCGTCGTTCTCCAAGATTGAAGAGCAGCGAAACTCAAGGCCCTAGGGGCGAGCGAATCGACCTAGGGCAGCTCATAGTCGTTGCGTGCCCTGACAGGGTCCCTCCCGGGCATGTGGGGTTTTGGTTCCTCAAAAGCGTCCACCGAATTGCTTGCATACCACGCTTCCGGACAGATCTCCTTCGACGTGAGCTGCGGTGCATCACCCTCGACGTTGGAGGTACACGTTGACGTACGTGTTCGTGTGCGAACAGCGAGGATGGCAAGTTTAGTTGACACGCATGGCAATTTCCTAGCAAAAAATACACTAAACACACATTTGTCATGTCTGTCAACTAAATTTTCCATCATCCTGTTACTAAAACTGTCATCGAAAATGATCGATTTACCATGGAAATCCCGAAAGTTCTGGATTTATCGGGGTCCTTGTTTTTTTTGTGTGGTCTTTAGTTTGGGAATGGAAAAATGGCAAAGGTACTAGTTATCTTTGCAGAAAACTACTACCCAGAGTGTAAGTACAAGGTGGGCTACGCTCCCCACCCCCCTACTCTAGAATCTTGTTAGGCTTAAATCTTGAATCTTGAAGATTACTCAGACTGTAAGTACAATTTGTCATTTTGCCTCCTCAACTCTCCGTTTGCCCTGTCAACAATTTCGGTCAAGCTCCGCAAATGTACTCTAGTATTTTCTTGGTGAAGCTAGTGTTGGTTTTTGCAGGACACAACGGCAACAACTATGAGAGTATTCTTCTCCACGAAATATATCAAGTCCGGTTTGTGTAATACAATAGGCAATGATTTCTTGTACCTTTATCTCATTACTTATGTTGAAACCTATGTATTATAGTGTATTGCATACATATCAATTATAAGCATAACCATAAAGGACTGCTACCATAACAAAGTGCATTCTTTTCTGTTCCTGCTTAATTTGTCTACACAATTTTCTGTTAGAAAATTTTGACATGACAAGGTTTTGATCCTGGCACGCCACAGGTGGTCAGCCTGTGGCCTAGACAAATCAAGTAGATGATCTATTTATAAAACACATGGAACCATGCAAGAGTTAATTCAGGATTCTTTGTGCCACCTAGAACTGATTGATCAGGGTCTCGGTGCCTCGGTGGTGGGTCCAGCCGGTTTTTGGTTGAGAAGGGGTTGTATTGCCTTCACGACGATTGTCATGTTCGGTCTGAAGTCGGATTCGTACTGAACGCACAGCGCTGCCACTGCTGCTAGCTGAAAACATGAAGAGAAGCAACTTCAGCAAGGACACGTACTGTTAAATTTTGTAGTTTGCACGATTTGCTACAATATCGTACCTTGGCGACGGCTTTTGGTGGGTACTCACTGTTGAGCTTTGGATCAACACATTGCTTTACTTTATCTTCGCTCAACCTTGGAGTAGCCTGCCTCAGAGGATTAAGAAACATATATATGTAAGACCATGAATGACGATACACCAATGACAAGTTTATTCGAAGGGTATTAAATACAATACCCAAGTAACAAGACTTTGCTGCCCTTTGGGCATGGTGTGATCGACCGGTTTTCTTCCTGTCAGTAGTTCTAGTAGGATCACTCCGAAGCTGTAGACGTCACTCTTTTGGTTGATTTGCCCTGTCATAGCATATCTGAATATTACCAAATCCCAAACAGCAAAATGTGAGCAAGGTAGCAAAACCGAGAGCATATATAAATTTGATATGTCAAAGAAAACACAATATCATCCGGCCGGTCTTACTCTGGTGCGTGGTATCCAAATGTTCCTAGCACACGAGTCGAGTGTAACCGGGCAGCGGATTCCGTACCCTGGTTTGTCAGGTTGAAGTCGGCAATCTTGGAGCTGAATTCGTCAAATATTAGGATGTTACTCGACCGAATATCTCGATGAACAATCGATGGTTGGACTTTCTCATGTAGGTACTCTATTCCCCTCGCGGCTCCGTAAGCTATCTTGACGCGCTGAGCCCAGTTGAGCACCGGCCCGGGTTCAGCGCCCTGCACTCCTTTCTTGCCTGCACGGGCCGGTAAGGTAAGAATGTTAATTTAGCAGGCAGGCAGTCACCTTGACATAGATAGATGCAAATTAACATTGTGGTAGAGTAGACGCACCGTGCAAGATATTATGCAAAGAACCCATGGTCGCAAACTGATAGGCCAGCATGCGGTTGCCATCCTCCAAGCAATAGCCCAGGAGTTCCACGAAGTACTCGTTCTTAAGCTTGGAGACCATTGCTAGCTATGGCAATGAGATCGATCATGAGAAGAATCCAAATCCAAAGGAAATGAATCAACCAATATATTTGACCAGATTAATTTGGTGCGGCAGTATGGGATCATCATGGATCAGATCATCTGAGAGGATGATTGATGCTTGGCACGCACCTGAGCAGAGAATTCTGAGTCGGACTCCTGCGAGGCGCTGGGGTCGAGCTTCTTGATCACGGCGGGGCGGCCATCGCTAAGGGTACAACTGTAGACGCGGCCGATGGAACCCTCGCCGATGAGGGCCTTGTCGCTGAAATTGTTGGTCATCTTGTTGAGCTCGTCTAGCGGTATCGCCGGCACGTCGATGGTGAGCACCTTGGGCGGCCCTCCGGGCCTCGTGGCGCCGGGCCCCCTCGGCCCGCCTCTGTTGCCTGCGCCAAAGTCGTTTCGTTCATAAAAAAAACTGTGATCAGATCCAGCGCCATGGCCGATTGATATGAGCTATGAGCGGCGACGATGATTATGAGTGGATACCGGGAGCGTTGACGTTGGGCGGCGGAGCGGCTTGGTTCGCCGGCGGGCCGTAGGTGTCCTCCTCGGCGCTGCCGCAGCAAGACATTGTTCTCGCCGGCCGGACACGATGGGTTGGTTTGGGGGCGGTCAGAAGATCATGACCTGGATGGACGTACGCATTCCCAACAACAGAATAGGATCGATCAACACATCCTCCAATCTCCAAAGAAAATAAATTGGATCAACGAGTACAATGTGGAATAGATGATCTGATCCAGAACTAATTCAATCAAGATTTCGAAAATCTTGCAATGAGCCAATGAGGATCTTGCTAGATCCTCCAATCCCCAAAGAAAATAAATTGGATCAACGACACAATGAAAGAAAAACAACCCGGCTATTTTCAATCTAGTATGAGCATTACCTCCCCGAAAAATTCCCACCGGAGAATGGTCGTCGGTGGATCAAGAACAGCGGCGGTGTTTTGTTTCCGGGTAAGAGATTAGTGGTGGCCAAGGGTGGGGGCTCCTTTTTTCGCGCCAAAGGAGGCTCCTGTTCCGCTTTAACTGGCTCCTTTACTTTGTGCTCCTGCCGTATCCTATTATTGGCATGCGAGATGTTACATCATGAGAGTGAGAGCGCCGTTCCATGCAAAATGGTCGTCTTCCTCCTTGAGGATTTTATATATTGTTATTTGTCGACATAAGCACTTTTGACTATCAAACTATTATAATAACTGAATGTACATATAAAAATTAACATGTTATAATTTGAAGATGAACTTTTCAGGTGGCCCACGTGCAAAGTGCAAGATCTATGCACGAGACCAGACTCGCTGCATGTGCAAGTGTGTAAGGGCGTGTTCGGTTGCGTGCATAACACCCAGGCAGGCCCTTGGATGCAATTTTGAGCCACTTGGTTACCTGCGCATGTGGTTTGTCCTGCAGAGCAGGTACTCAAAGTAGCCCAGAGCTATTCTCTCGATGAACGTCCGAATTAACTGTTTCCAACGAGTCAGGCCCGTGCAAGGGTGCATGCGGTTGCACGCGCAGGGGACGAGCGGGAGACATGATGTCGTTTCCCGAAGTCCCGCCCCTTATCTCAGTGCTCACTCTCCCCTCTATCCATTGTGACTCTCTCACCGGCGATGGCGGCGTGCATCGGCGAATCGAACATCTGGACAATGAGCACAGGCGGCGACCACCGCCTTCATGATCCCTTCTTCACCCTTTCGTCAATGGAAGTAAGCCCTTGTCTGCCCGATTTAGGGAGTCATGTAGGCATTGATTTAGAGTTGGGGGCTTCGGTTTGGGTTTTGAGTTGGGTTTAGGGTTAGATTTCGGGTTTCAAATGACTTGAATAGGGTTTCAATTCAGGGTTTCATACGGCTCAATTAGGCTTGCCTTGATCCAAGAAATTTAGTGTGTTTTTGTTAGTATGTCGGTTTGTGTTAACTATCTTTTTATGGCTCTGTCGGCGCTATTATGACTATGCATGCTAATGTAGTGTGAATGCTTGTTCAAATTGCTAGGCTCTGCCTAGGTATGTATGTGCACACGTGTGCAGTTTGGTAACCTCACCACTCGGAGAAGAGGTTACCACATCACAGTCTTGAATGCAACCAAACACTAGCACGTCCTCGCAACCAAACGACATGCTAGTGGTTCGCCTCTAATGCAGGTTGGGGCTTTATGGGCAATTAAACTAGGCACGAAACATGGTTTTGAGCCCGCATTAGCTCAAGCAAGTTGAACCCAGGCACAAATACATGGAGGCCAAAAATGATGCAAGTAACCAAACATGCAGTTAAAAAATCCAGTCGGTCGGAACCTATTTTCACCGTTGGATTGGGGGAAGCCCGCCTCGAACCAACATCACCAAAGCGTGACAGAGGAGAGGGGTGCACCGCCGCAAGCCAGTGCCATCGCGGAACATCGTCCCTCACCACATGTACGTCATCAAGACGTCATCCACCGCCACCAGCAAGGCCTCCGACACCCTCCGTAGCGACGCTAAGCCGAGCCGCACCCACCCGATGCCATCACAGCCAACCACCGCAAAGACCAGCACAACTCTGCCCCATCACAGTTAAGGAGATCCCGAGCTGCTATACCTCGTCAGGAATGTGACACACCTCCTAAGGCCCACGCCAATGTAGCCTTCACCGCCTGCCGCCACCGCACACCAGATCTCAGCAGAGCTTGCACCGCCGCCGTACGCCACCACCAGCATGAACCTCCACTTGCCATGTGACCTATATATCATGATGCCGTTGCACCTACGCACCTCACAAACGTGCCACATCCTGGCCTGTCGGAGCCGCCCCGGCTTGGCCCGAGCACACGAGGAGATGAAGCCGCCTCACCGAGCTCCGGCAGAGCTTTTCCCAATTATCTGTCCCGCTAGCAGCGGCGGGGAATGGGGAGGGAGGCAGAGAGGAGACGGGCGACAGCGCGTTAGAGGTTCCCTCCATGTAGCGATGTGGTTGTCTCGTCGGAACATAGATAGACATATCAGATCGTGGAGGCCTAGAGGGACTTTGGACTGGTTGCAGTTTAGTAGTACTGGGTTTATTTGTTTTTTAAAATGAAAAGAGGACATTTTTATAGCCATCTCTGATCGAAGTGAATTGACTTACATCCTTTTCTTTAGACTTTGTATGTTTGACTAATTTCGATGATGTTTTTATCACACGTGTTTATGTCCAAAGGCGAGTCCTGTAAATCCAGTCTCTTTTTCATTAACATTTGAAAATCCTGGGGCGGGGTTCATCGAAAATAAAATTATAGCCGCCAAATGAGAAAAATAGCGAGTGTGCCTCCACTGGACTTGAGCTCCTAATTGGAGCCTTTGGCACCAGCTAAGCTCGTAGCGCCCACAACTCGCCTCATGTGTGGCCCAGCGCTCACTCGCGCGGTGCCGCCACGTTCGCTCGTGTGCCTTCATCACTAGCCCGCTTCTTTTTCTTTCCCTTGATTTTTTCACGGTTTTCTTTGTTGCTACTGTGTCGTTCACTAAAAAACGAATTGCTAGTTTTCTAAATTAATAAGTGTTGATAATTAAAAAAGGAGTTTAAAAAAGTTTCTTGATTTGAAATTTTTCAAATTTGATAAAAAGTTTGAGAATTTGAAAAAAATTCGATGGCTTTAAAAAACATGAATTTTTAAAGAATTTCCGGATTTGAAAAATATCAATGAGTTTTCAAAAAGTTCATGTATTTAGAAAATAGAGCGAAAATTGGCAAAATTTCACACATTTTTTAAAATGTTAAAATATTTGAAAATTGTTCACAATTACCAAAAAGGTCATGAACTCGAAACGGAAAAATCATGGAATTTAATTAAACACAAAAATGAATAATAAAAATAGAAACCAATAAACAAAAACTTGTTGGGAGCTTCTAGAAGCTTGACAAAACAGATAGGAAGCTTCTAGAAGCTTAAAAAAAACTGGACCAAGGAGCTCATACATGGTCATGGGGTGTGACCAAGGGCTTACATACATAGCCCGCTGACCACACACATGTTTACATGGGGTGTGACCAGCTATAAAAAGAGTTGAAACCAATTCTACGGGCGCCAAATAGGGATTCAAGTGACTAGCTACCCAGGGAGCGGGAGATATACCGGTTGGTCCCAGCCGCTAAGACTAAGAGCAGGTATTGCTAGAGTTAGAAGCAATCCGATTCTTTTAAAAAATAACAAACAGTTTTAATTTTAGATCGTGAGCACGAGAGCTGAAATCAATATATCCTATTTGCAAAGATTTAATTCTTTTCTCCTATACTTTTCTTGCTAATTGTTTCCCCTAGCTTTTGTCTTTTGTGTCATCTACATCTTATTTTCTGAATAGAAAAATGGTGGAATGTACCTTTAATTAGTGGAGAATTAATTGTTTGAATCAAACACGTATAATCTGCACATACATTCTACTAGTATTGGTACATGTGCAATGCACTCTTAAAATTAATAGATTCAATGCAAAAAAGTTTTTTTTTGCAGACATAAGGATGCAGAATGTAAGAATTGGAGAGTTGGCCATTAGTATGTAAGCCCACCTTTTTGTTGAAGTATGCAAGCCCACCTTTTTGTTGAAGTATGCAAGCCCACCTTTTTGTTGAAGTATGCAAGCCTACCTTGATGACAAAGAGAAGAATTCAAAATTTGTACTACTTTAATTTCTCATCTTCGCGAGAGTTATGCCTCGCTCTTTCCGAGATAGAGCTCCGTCTGGCCCAATAATGTGGAGCCTTTCACTGGTTTTCACCTGTTTTGAGAAGGGATCATCCCAAAAAATCTGTGTCCAGAAAGTTTCTCACTTCTTTCTGTGTTTTTATTTATAGTTTTTATTTTTTGGTTTTCCTGTGTTTCTTTATTAGTTTTTTCTTATTTTTCTTTGTCTCAAAACGTGTATACTTTTATTAATACACATTATACATTCTGCATATACATGTGGGACATGTTTTTGGTACACCATTAATATATTTCAAATACACGACAAACATTTATTCTAATACATGTTTTAACATTTTCCCGAAAACATGTTGAATGGTTTTTTCAAATAAACATTAAACTTTTCTGAAATCGTACTAAACATATTCTCTAAGTTATGTAACGTTTTCTTACATTGTATTCATCTTTAAAAAAATCACGAACATCTTTCCGAAACATAATATTTTTTAAATGTCACAAACATTTATTTGAATTTTATAATTATTTTCATAAAATTGCGTGAACATTACGTTTACACTGTATTAACATTTTTTAACAAATGTCATGAAATGTTTTCTGAATACATGTTAAACTTTTTTTGATGTACACATTGAATAATGTTTTTTGAATAGTACCAATTATTTTTACAAGATTAAGCGAATGTTTTATTTACATTGTATTAACATTTTTATAAAAGTTTCACGAACATATTTTTGAAACATGTGAACCTTATTTAATGATACAAATTATTTTTCTAAATTACATCCATACTTTTTAAATGCTTTTACCTTTTTTTGAAAAGCATGAATATTTTTATATTGGGATGAATGTTTTTGAAAAATTGCGTGAACAGTTTTTTTACATTGTGTTAACATTTTTTTCTAATTCACGGTGAACTGTTTAATAAATTTTAGGTAAATTAGGTTTTGAATATGAACAAAAGTAAAAAAGGATACAAAGAAAAAAATGATTGATTCACAAAAAAATAAAAATAAAAATGAATGAACGAGAAGCAAGGAAGAAAGAACAAATGAACAAGCAAAGACAAAGCTACTAGGGGACCCAATATTACTGACGCAGGGCGCCCTCCTAAGGCGAGACCTCCTTTTGTCTGGTTGCGGGTGAGACAAAGCAGTGCCCTCTCTTCTTTTCATTCTCCTCCTCCGAATCTGCTTGGGCTCAGCACATCTTCGGTTAAACTACAACATGGTCCAAGAGGTATCAAGTATGGCATTTTTTTCTGCGAAGGGCGAGGTGATGGTTCGAGAACACCGTTGAAGCAGCTGTAATCACTATTCACCATGAAACCTGTTGCTCCCAGCCAGTGGATATAGCAGAACAACGGTTAGGGTTGTTGCTACAGGTCCAATTCAAAACTGATTTACTATGTAATTGTATAGATAAGAGCATCTTCAATAGCTTCCCCATAACAGGGAACCAAAACATGCTTGGAGTTAAACTTTCGACACCAAAAAGTGATTTTTAGGGCACCAAACATTGAGCATCTCCAACAGCTGCCCTAAAATAGGGCACTCGCAACAGCGGGTGATCATTGCATACATCAACGTTATCGTTGTATACTTCGATATAATCACCCCAAGCATATTTCTCTCTTCCTCCCTATTTTTCTTCTGCACTGGACCCATTAAACTTTCAACAAAAACCACGCGAGCATTACAAAATTCTCTTCTCTGAAACTTCCGGATGGGCAGTTGGGGCTTTGTGCGCTGCATTTTTTTTTTGTTTGGGGCAGCCGCTTGGTGTTGTATATTTGCAGCCGTAGCTGCCACTTTTTTGGCCTCGAGCTCGAGGGTTGTGCGTGCCGTGTGCGCACGTAGGTGTAGGGGTCGCGGCCATCCGAGCGCCATTCTTTTCTAAGTAATGCTAGACGTACATAAAGTTGGTACGTGATTTACGTAATGAGTAACGTGGGAGGTTTTACCCGCAAAAAAAAAAAAACATGGAAGGTTCTAACTGGATCGGTAGGAAGGGAAGGTCCCACCCCCGGTGAAATTCAGGGGGCCCGATAGGTTTAGTTGGAAATTTTCGTAGGCCTTCGTAATCACTTTCGTAAGTGTACGATCATCGTTCTTTTCTTTCCCAGATGGTGGGAAGGGATGGCACGATTGACTGACCCAACGGGAGAGTGGCGAAAGAAGCGGTCTAGTCGTTGCTTCATTTGTTTCCACAAACTAGAAGGAGAAGGACAACAGAAGAGCCGTAACTCGTTTTTACACGCACAGAAAATTCTGCGTCCAAGTGTTCTCGCGTGACTTGATTGGCTGCATGTCTGACAATGCTCTTTCTTTTTTCCTTAATGTCTGGCAATGCTCTTGTCTAGAAAGCTATAGCTTTCATCATAATTCGTATGAACTTCTCAGGTCAACCTACAGCGTCCATGGAATGAAAGTTGCATATCTGGACAATGTTTCGGTCCACAACATCCACCGGACTTGCTGCCCAAACGTGTAAAGAATCCGGTATGCACGCCCCGGGTAAAAGGCATGTATGCATGGAGAATCATCACGTACGATTCAATACATGCATGTACTAACCTTCTCCCGATTTTCAATTACTATACTATACAATCTCATATGTGTACCATGCAACTCTTTTTACTTCACATATTAGATTTATCTTAAGTCAAACTTTGTAAAGTTTACCAAATTTATATTACAAATATCGACATCTACAACACTAAATACATACTATTATAAAGTATAGTTCATTATGGATCTAACAATATTGACTTAATATTCTAAAATGTTGGTATTTTTTTCTCTGTAGACTCAATAAAACTTTAAAAAGTTTGACTTAAGACAGACCTTTTATTTATTTATTTTATGGAAATAACTGCTGATCTAATCATCATCTGTCATGACAGTACAAATAACACCCAAAAAAACATCCATGTAACTCAGACATACTCTTTCCGTGTCGTAATATAAGAGTGTTTTTTTACACTGTACTAGTGTTAAAAACGCTTTTGTATTATGAAACAGAGGGAGTACATTATAAGGACCGTGCTACAGCTCGCGACGCTTCATCCATGCATCCATGGCATCACAGTGCCAACAAGCACGAGCTCACGTG